TACTTTACAAACGAGTTACTCTGATAAAAACTAAGGAATGACAATTTTTAGAATTTTACATATATTTATAACTAAGCTTGCGCTGACGCAGCAGGTCGAAGACCGGCTTGCAAGCTTGCATTTAGAGTTCATATAACTAGCTATTAAAATAAACTGTATGAGACAGAAAGGACTTTTCTTCGATCTTCCTAAGTAATGCATTCACTTATTATGGCTAACATCATCTTTGAATGTAATATAGAAAACAACGTGTATATTTTTTAGTTAGTATTAACATTACTTGCCACCGAAATCTTTTATTTTTTTAATATTTTTGGTATGTCGATGTTCTTTCCACCATATTTCTATTATCTTGCCACCATATTATTTTTTTTTATAACTCAATATTATATGACTTACCACCATATTTTTATGGTTTTGCCACCATATTTTTTTTAGTGGTTTTGCCGCCATATTTTTACGGTTTTACCACCATACTTTTAATTGGCTAAGCATCCACCATTTTGTAAGCTTCTTTTAGAACAGCCATACTCAATAAGGTGGAGCAATTTTTTTCTTTATTTGGTTGGGTTACACATTAGGCACCAGAAGTTGTTCATTACTGTACAGTTTAATATTAAAAAAAGAGATAATAAATATTTGATTATCTTCAGGGTCCGCATGTAACACAAAGAATGGCAAAACATTAAAAAATAACGTTTTTTTTTTTAATCAAGCAAACAAATGTTTTTTTTCTTGCTTTACGCATTAGATCATAAAGCTTAATCATAAATATACAGTTTTATAGAAAAAAAAATCATCTTCAGGGTCTGCGTGAGAGAAGAAAAGTAGCAAATATTTCAGAAAATACATCCTTTTTAAAAAAACTTTTAATTCAAAATTATCTTATATTAAATACCGATCTGACATAACTTATCGCATTCAGATATGATGGAACTGTAATCAATACCGGCACTAAGGGAGTTAAACCTAAAACGTAACTTGCATTGGCTCATTTGCCAACTCAATGGAAATGAACTTCCTCTTACTTCAAAGAGGGTTTCTGTCTTCCCATTTTAGTTTCTTTTTTTTTTTATTGACAGGAGTTTTAGTAAGTAGTTCTTAATGGTATTCCAGTTTTCGTTGCTCTGTAAAATCTTAATAATTATGTTGTACGGTATTATTCTTTCTAGTTCGTTTTCAGTGACTTGTCGATCATCTTCTCATCTTACACATTTAATAAATGTATGTTCTACTGTATCAATCGACCTACAGTATGAGCATTTGTACGTCAGCTAGTTTAAATTTAAACAGGTAGGCTTGGAAGATTCCATGTCTTGTCAGAAGTTGAGTTATATAAGAGTCAACATTACCATGATTTCTGTCGATCCAGAGGTTTAGGTCTGGTATTAGCCTTTTGGTCCATTCTGCAGTCCCTTCTTCTTGTTCCCATCTCTTTTACCACTTTTCCAGTGTAATTTGTTTTGTCAGTGTTTTATCCGTGCCATTTCCTATAAGCTCCCGTTCTTTAGCTAGTATAATATTGGGGTTGTTCTGGCTAACACCAGCAGGGCTTTTGAATGTATTTAAGATGCTGATTGCTACTCTACTTTGGACTTTTAGGAAGATATTTCTTTGTAATTGTTTCCTAATGGCTATTTTCCATATTCGGGCTACGTACAGTATGATTGATTGAAAAACGTAGATTCGAATTCTTCTGCTGTTTTCTCTTGGTCCCCTACTTCAGGTATCAGCCTTTGAAGATTTCCTATCGTCTTACATGCTTTTTCAGTGGTCTGTCTTATATGTGTACCAATATTCATATTCCTGTTTAAGTGTATTCCCAGGTATTTGATGGATTCTATCGTGTTTATCGTGACTCCTTCTACCTAGCACCCTTTATTTTATATCCTCGCGTACGTAGCACTGCTTCTATTTTGTGTGGTGCGAACTTTAGTTTTTTATTTTCCATCCATTCAGTAACACTGGTCAGTACTTCGTTGGCCTTTGCTTCTATCTTAGTGAAATTTTTATCTATTACTAATATTCGGAGATCATTGGCGTATTTAATAATCATAATTCCTCAGGGAACAGGTGATCTTAACAATCCATCATATTATAGATTTCACAGGGTCGGGCCCAGAAAGGAGCCTTGGGAAACTCTACTTGAAAGCTTTATTTTTTTAATTTTCCACCCCTAGTAGGGTTCGGTTTTCAAAATAGCTCGCCACAGTGTTATACTGATATGGAACCATTTCTCGTCTTTGTATTTCATCTAATATGCCTCCCCACAATGCCGAGTTAAATGCATTCTGTATGTCCAAAGAGATAAATACATTTTTCCCTTGCTGTTTTTGAGTGGCTTCTTCTGCTGTTTCTTGAACTTCCTCTAGTGCGTTGATTGTAAATAGCCAGAGATCCTCTTTCTGCTATTTATATTTTTAACCTGTGTAGGATTAGTTGTTAAAATAATTAACCAACTTCAAAAAAGGAGGAGGTTCCCAATTTGTCGCAATATTTTTTTTAATGTATGTTTAGCGATAATTTTTAACAGTGTCCGATATTATTAATTTTTTTGTTAATAAGGGAATACCTCAGGCGTGGTCCCATATAAATTTGGTTAAAATCTAACAATTGGGTCAATGATAAAATCCTCAAACTCTTCATTATACATGTATGTTTAGCGATAATTCTTTACCATCTTGTCCAATTTCTATGATTCTTGTTTTGTTAGTAAGGGGGTACCTTAGGGTTTATCCCATATAAATTAAGTCAACATGTTGTGATGGCATCTGCATGATTTGAAAGTCAGTTTTTTAAAATTACTATTAATACTTGTTTTCCTATAACGTTGAGCAGGCATATTGGTAGATAAGTTTTTTCACCTTGTCCAGCTTTCTTCTTTATTATAAGAACGAGTTTTGTTATTTTCCACTTGCGCAGGAATTCTTCTTTTTTTAGCAGTTCGTTGATGAGGTTTAGGTACGTGTCAGGTTGGTTTTTTTCTTTTTGAATAATAGTTTCTGTGCGGTGTCTATGCTAACAGATAATAAAGCATATTTTAGCCCTCTTATTTGCTTTACCTGCCATCCTGATTTGCATGCCATCATGTTTCCCTCCAATAATTTTGATCTCTTTTTTAATCCTGCTTTACTCGCGCAGAGTGATTGAGACAACCTATGCGCTTAGTATTAGTAGTATATTTTATGTGAAAATATTAAGGTCACTCTGCAACAGTAGCTGTTCTCTTCTAGAGTCTCACAAACGATTTATTAGTAAATAATTAGCCGTTACGGCATAAGCACGAGTTTGGGCCATTGAAAATACTTCGAAATTACTGACGTTAAATTTTTTATCAGATATGTATTTATTTTTACTAAGAATATTTTTGTTTTAGTTATTTATATTAGTGTTTTGAAAATATTTTTACTAATATAATTATTTTAAAAAGGTTAAATAAATATTATATTAGTAAAAATATTTATTTAAGGCAAATATGGGAGAATATGAGAAGGAACAGGCCCGTTTGATGAAACCGATGACAAATTATTGCACGATGATGAAAATTCTTCCGATTAAGAGTTGAATACCATACAGAATGATTCAGAGCCCGTGCACAGCCTAATACTGAATCTTTAAGTAAAGAAGATTTGTTAAGTAATGAGGAACAAGAAATGAATGGGTAATTTTTTTTTCTTGTCAAATATAAGGCTATAAGATGATTGAGTCAGAAAAATAATATAAATTAAATTTAGGAGTAAAATTATAATGTCTCATCTACCTGGGACAAAGAATGCTGCCATAAATTGTAACCCTGTTATGTTATAGAATGTTTAAATTTATTTATTACTAGAGACAGAGAAATTGTAGAATGTACCAATATAGTTTTATAATTAACTTTTCTGACAACTACAAACGTTCAAAAAACTGCAAACAAACTAATAAAATAGAGATAAATGCTTTTTTTTTGGGTTACTTATCTTATCCGGGATTTGCAAATCAAGTCATAGAAATATTAAAGATTTATGGGAGTTGTCAAGACCATAACTTATTTTTATAAAACTATGAAACGTCTCAGGTTTGACAACATAAATATTAAATATTCTAGAAGAGAGGAAAATATTTGATAAGTTTGCTCCTAATAAAAGTAACTATTCTCAATTCAATAGCAATTGCCAAGTAAATTACTTAACTGAGTCCGAAGCATTTTCAGAGTTAATGAAAATCAGTCCAGTAATTAGCAAATAAAAATCTAATTATCTACCCGGGTAGATACTATGAATTTGAAGGTTAATTATGAATGAATGGATTAGTGGTCGTTTATAAGACAACACCAATATTAAATAAATATTTATTTTATCATTATTAATATTAGCAAAATCTTATTACTAAAACAAGCGATTTGCAAAAAATCAAATTTTGTTTCGGACTAAAAAGTATTAGAAATAGGAATCAAACTCGAGAGGCTTGAAAATTTTATATTTTATGTGCTATATAACTAAAAGGGCTCGTATATTACAGCATGTTGCTTGCAATTCCATTGCTGGCCTTTTTTTCGTGACTACTGCGCGTGCCTTTCAGAGTGTTCATTACACGTTTGCTGCAATAAGCAGGCAAGCAAAAATATAGAAATAATTCTAATTTTCAAGGTCAACTGCGTGCAATTTTGGACTTTTTATGAAAGCAACCTAAAATTTATTAATCTCTTTCCTGTCTCCATGTTGTTTCTTTATTGTATCTTTCTATGGTTATATGAACAGACGCGCTTTTTTTAAATCTTTTGTGTGTTTATTTGGTATTTTTTTTTATTGAGTTCAGTTCGTTCGTTGAAAGAGACAATTTGATTTTTAGTATTATAGTAAATGTGTGTATTTGTTTTTTATTGAGTTTTTTCGTAGTAAATTTGTGTACTTATTTGACATATCAACAAGATCTTCAAGGTAACTAAATTTTTTTTTTCATAAATATGTATAATAAAATGGACCAGTGAATTGACTACACATTTCATTTTTCTGTATAAGAACTATCCCTGCCTGTATACAGTTAAATCCAAGGAATACCACAACAGAAACCAGGAACCAAGCTTACCAGGATATTACAAGTGGCTTAAGAAATGTAAAACCTTGTATTGAATTTACCGAAGCCATGGTAACAGCCAAAATCTACACGCTACGGACCCAGTATACTAGCGAAAGAAAAAAAATAAGGAAGAGCGAAATAAGTGGTGCATCTCCTGACGAAATTTTTGTTCCAAAATTATGGTGTTTCGAAATTCTAAGGTTTTTAGATGATGCTGAGGTCATAGTTGAAGGACAATCTAATCTTGATTTAGCCAACACAGTGAGTAGACTATTGTTTTCAGGTTTTAGAATACTGCATAAAAACTAAATTAGGCTGTAGAAGCATGTTTTTATTTTATGTTCAGTACAATTTTAATAAAAAAAATTATATAATTCGACTAAATTGTACATGTATGAATGAAACTCTTAAAAAATTCCAACATAGTTCTGTAAAATCACACAATTTTTTATAACATATCAATTTGTTTAGGAAACGGAAGAGGAAGGTAATGTACTGTTCAAGGGCAGCATTGATGATGCTTCAAGACTATTTACAACAAATTTTGAAGTTAATTAAGATAGGCCATCATCATCTGTGCCATATACAAATAAAACACCAGACAGAACACATGATTCAAATAATGAGACCCCTGTATATAAAAAAGAGAAACGGCTGTTTCGAAAAAAAAAAAAAAAAATTGGAGGATAACCAATACTCTAATATGTTAGAATGTGCAACAAGTGCGCTCAAAAACATAACAAATAAAAAGATAGAGCTATTGAAACAGGATGACACAGTGCTAAATGACTTTTCACAGTAAGTAATGTGACCAGTATACCAACAAACTTCTTCACAATGAATAATATAAAGCATTTTGTTTACGCCAATTTTTTTAAATTATTTTTATTTGTAGATATTTGGCCAAGGAGATGAAAACTATAAAAGATGAAGACATTTTAGATACCCTTTAATCAGATATCATGCATCTAGTAATAACTGCAAAAAGAGAGTACAGGGCCAAACGTTGTGAATAGATTTTTTTTAGTAGTCATAAATATACATTTTAATTTCTTTTATTTTTTATTTATTACCTCAAACTGATATTAATATAAAACTAAACATAATGAAATTGATCAAGTTTCAATTTGGATTTATGCATATATACGACTAAGACTAAGAAAATATATAAATGTATAAAAAATGACTAGGTTAACTATGTTATTTTAACTAAAAACTAATATATGAAAAGTAAAATAATATGAATTGACTTATATAATATTATCTTGCCAGGATAATCTTCCAATACCATTAAAATAAGTCTTAAATTCTTCTCTAATTTTATTTGTAGCTCCTTTTGGCCGGTTACCTGCTTGTGCACTCAAGCAATACAAAAAAGTATAACCTTTGTCAATTTGTGTCTCAGGATCCACTCCAGTATATACAGTTTTTAATTCAGTTCTTAAAAAATTATTGAGTGTAACAAGTGTAACCTTTTCTATGGATAAAGCGTTCACATTAAGTAGTACTCTAAAACGATTTGCTAGTATTTCGAAAGCATTTTCCACAACTCTTCGGGCTCGACTTAATCTATAATTTAAAATCCTTTGCTCCTTGGTAAGTTTTGTTAAAGGATATGGTTTTAGGATATGGTTCGATAAAGGGAATCCTGCATCGGCTGCTATGATAAATGACATATCATCAGTTCTCTTTGGAAGTGGACTATCTGCAGGAAAATGTAAGGTGTTTCTTTCTATAGCTTTACTTAAATCACTGTCTTGAAAAACCCCTCCATCTGATATTCTACCATTACTACCAATATTTATGTACGTAAAATTGTACTCAACATCAACCAAGGCAAGCAGTATAATGCTGTGTTGTTTCTTATAATTAAAATAGGATTAACCTTCCTTTTGTTAAGCTTTAATGACAATATGTTTACCATCCATCGAACCCAAACAATTGGGCATGTTCCAAAATTCATCATATTTTTTTGAAAAATCCAACCAATCTGCAGCAGTTGAAGGTACCTAAAATAAATTAGCTTGTTAATAAATTTGGTATATATTGGCTTGCCAACAAAGTACTTACCTTTAAGTATTCACCTTTTAATTCTTCATAAATGGCTTTGCATAATACAGGAATAAATTGCGAAATTGCACTATTAGAGACTCTATAATTATACTTTAAAGACATAAAACTTTCTCCAGTTGCAAGATACCTTAATGTTATGATTAATTTGTCTTTGGGAGAAATACTTTTTCGTAGTAAAGTGTTCTTTTTCACTATTTTGTGTTGAATTTTACCTAGCAGTTTGATAAATGTTCGTTCATCCATTCTAAGAAAATTTTTATATGCTTTTTTATCTTCACATTGTTTAAACTAATATTTAATATTTAAGTTACCTAGGTCGGTAATAAGCCATGGTTTCTTCCAGCAAGTTCTTTTTCTATGATTTTCAAGTTTTTTTTACGTATGTGGCAAGAAGAGCAGTCATAGTTATTAATATAACGGTTTCGGCGTTTACCAAATCGGATAAATCCATTTTCTTCAGAACAATAATACAAAATAAAATATCAAAAATTTTCGTTTACACTAAACTCAAGAAACAAAATGAAAGATTCAGCAACGGTCGATCAATTGTCATAAATAAAAACTGTCAATTGTCACAATTCGCAATGTTGGCAGCAATGACAGATGACAGAGAGCTTTATATAAAAAGTCTTAAAAACATGCAACAGTGTAAGAAGGACATGCAATTTTTTGCGTGCAATTCTGAATTACAAGCAATAGACATGCAGTAAACAGGCTGCAATGTACGACGGCTTTAATAGTAATTTTTGCAGCGCATCCAAAAGCGACTATATTACGTATTATATTACTATAATACATTATATCTATATCGCGTTATAATTAAATTTGACTTAGCTACTGCCATTTACTATGTATTTATCTTTTACGACAAATCTAGAATTACTTTGTTTTCACCAGATATATAACAGAAAACTTTTATAAAACATTTTTCTAAAGTTTGTGTGAATCTGTAAGTTAATATCCGGTAACTGCATTGAGCCAGCCTTATACAATTTACAAAAAATAAACCAAATAGTTTTGTAATAGATTTTGTGTTTATTACTGTTCAAAGCATAATCCGAAAATGTTCTTAGTAAAAGTTTTGTTTTATAAATTTTGTTTTGTAAACATTTTTTTAGCTTCTATAAAATGTCAAATTGTTACTTGGGAAGTTAACCACATGACAACAGAACTTTAAAAAGTACTAGACAACAGATTATTTCTAAAAACAAAAAGAGAAACATAATTATTAGGATTAAAAAATTCCAATGTTTGTTGTAGTGTCTTTTTAAGTTTCCACTAAAATATACCAGCAGAAATATTAAAATAAAAATCCAATTTACGTCTTCCTATGGAAACATTTCCCTTTCATAAAAAAAAAACTACTTTACCAACAAACACCGTAGGCAACCTTTGTGCAAACTTCCACACTAACCAGAAATATATTGAAAGCCTCTTTCGGACCGTTTTATTACACACACACGGCACGGCGAGTCAAAGTGATGGCCTTACATGAATGGGCCGACCAGCCACACCGCTAAATTACGACCCATGAATAAATGAAGCTATTGTTCCGCGACAGAACGCTTTATGGAGTTACTTTTATTTTTCCCTTTCGCATGACCTGTTGCTGGTATAGCAGTCGTTCGGCGAAGAGTTCCCGACAAATTAGCTACCAAAAATTAACCGCTATAGAGACAATGAGACATTCCATAATTGAAATGATCTCCGTTAGGTCGTCAGAAGATGGAGCAGTTTCATGAAAGAAGGATGAAAGAGATGTAAAATTTTAAGACCCGAGGCTTTGTATAACGTTAGTTGATATTTGATAAAGGGTTTGGACTATTTTTGATGTAGAAGACTCGATTGCGAGCCATCAGCCCTTGAAGATTCCTTTTAAAATATGTACGTGTATTAGAAACGTGATTATCTGTAAAAGATAATTAACACATTATTTTTCTTCAAAAAATATAAAATATAATAATATATTGTTATAATATGTTATTTCTGTTAAAGATAATTTGTAATATACGTGGACCGTTATTAATTATTTAACTTCGTTTGGTCACATCCAAGTATTTTACGCTGTAGTAATACGGTCACAAGTTTTAGAGATAAGTGATTCACTGGTCCCTGGTTCCATCGCATGCCCCTGCTTACTCATTAAAACTTCTTTTGTTGAAACAGTCAAGTTTGATTAATTAAATTTTTAAAATAAATTGGCGAGTATACCGGCAAAATAAACAGTGTTTAAAAGGCCTAAGACAGAGAGACACAAATATTATATTTAAGAAGCGGCTTCGGTCACCTATTTTATTTATTGGGTTTACAAATATTATGCTATTAGCTAATATGTTTGGCATGTGTCGTCTATCTTGTAGACAAAAGTGTCTCAAATTATTATATGAATGGTTTTTTTTTTTGTTAAACAACAAAATTATGAATATCTTATACTTAGCTCTAAAGTCTTATGGAAATAATGTACGTAATGTCTTAGAAATACCCCAAGTCCATTTGCCGATATTTTAAAAGTTTTCAACAAAAGGGAGAAACGATTTAGTGATCAATCAAAAACTTTAATCGTGTTATAAAAGCTTATGTAAACCAAGAACTAATTGGCTTAAATAATAATAACTAATGACAAATATACATAACAGACATAGGGGCAATACAAATTTTTATATCACTTTGATATTATTATTTTAAATTTATTTTAAAATGTGGACGAAACAAAAATAGAAATTCTATTATTTATCGATTCTGCACATTTAATTTTTGCATTTAATTATAATTAGTTGCATTTAATTGCATTTAATTGCATTTAATTGCATTTAATTGCGTTTAATTGCATTTAATTGCATTTAATTGCATTTAATTGCATTTAATTGCATTTAATTGCATTTAATTGCATTTAATTGCATTTAATTGCATTTAATTGCATTTAATTGCATTTAATTGCATTTAATTGCATTTAATTGCATTTAATTGCATTTAATTGCATTTAATTGCATTTAATTGCATTTAATTGCATTTAATTGCATTTAATTGCATCTAATTAAATCTAATTACATTTATTTGCATATAATTATATTTAATTGCATTAAATTACATTTAATTGCATAAAATTGCATATAATTGCATATAATTGCATTTAATTGCATTTAAATGCATATAATTGCATTTAAATGCATTTAATTGCATTTAATTATATTTAATTGCGTTTAATTGCATTTAATTGCATTTAATTGCATTTAATTGCATTTAATTGTATTTAATTGCATTTAATTGTATTTAATTGCATTTAATTGCATTTAATTGCATTTAATTGCATTTAATTGCATTTAATTACATTTAATTACATTTAATTACATTTAATTACATTTAATTGCATTTAATTGCATTTAATTGCATTTAATTGCATTTAATTGCATTTAATTGCATTTAATTGCATTTAATTGCATTTAATTGCATTTAATTGCATTTAATTGCATTTAATTGCATTTAAT